GTGTTTGGAGAACAAAACAAATGGAAGAAATAATACTTGAAACCAATCAACACTGAGATCTGGCCTGGATTGTCAGATTAGAGTTAATTTGATTAGATTAGATATTTTTAAGAGATTTTAAGAGTTTTTGTTTTTGTCCAAAAGCTCCTCAAATTTGCCATTGGCTGCAAATATGTGTATTTACACCAACAAAATATATGATAATATGTTCCTCGGATTTTACGGTTTCGGTCACCCGGAGTACACTAAAATTCATTTCCGCCCCGAATCCTTCGTTCAGATTTCCAACTTCTTCGCCGCAATCTGACTTCACCGCCACCGTCCGCGGCTTTACTCCAAAGTTCGATCTCCAATCACCGGAAAATCTCGGAGACTTAACCAAAAATCGTTAAAAGATTACACATACCGCAAAGGAATCTTCATTAATCCTCGGCTTTTGACATCACGGAGAGCCGGCTCGGCCTCGGCTGGAACGCTGCGCGGCGACGCTGCTGGTGAGAGGAAGGTCTAATCAAAGCCGACAAAGCTCTCTTAACCAGATCTCCTTCGACTCCTCCGATTCTCACCAGCGAGTTCGTCATAGCAGACCTACGCGCGTTGAGCCGATTATTAGGCGCGCAACTTGTCACCGCGTGCGAATTATTAAAACTCTTATGAAGGCTGCAACGGAACGATCCCGGGTGCGTCGTAGGGGAACACATGCAAGTCCGCTTCGGCTGTTTACTCTGTAAATTCTTCAACACCTCGTTGTTTCTACGGACGGTAGTAATCGAACGGTTGGGCGAGATCGGGGACGGTTATCGAGCCGAGAATCGCACGGACGGCGCGGATGGAGAGTGCGTTGGTAGAGAGATTGACACCGTGGTGGAGAGATGAATCTGTGTTGATTTAAAGAAAGTTAGAGAGCGTGAAGAAAAGCTTGAACCTTTGAATAAGCGAAGCCCGAAGAAGAAGATGGATGGAGGACGTGTGAGTGGTAGGTGAGAAACTGAAACCGGGCCAGAAAGTGCAGAGAGAGTCGCGAGAACCGGGACCGCTCGATTTTCTAGAGATTTCGCCATTGTTTTTTTTTTTTTTGGCAGAAGAGAGAGAAAGAAAGTTATGAGATTTTTTTTTTGAATTTCTAAAAAGCCGCGTGTGGCTGTTTAGTTGGGCAAACCTAGCTTTACTCGAGCCACGTATTTATAGGGTGAGGGGAGGGGTCTGGCCGTCTGGGTTTTGGAAATTTCGCGATATTTTCAAAGTTGGGCTTTTTAGTTCTTGGTTTTGCGATTGTGCCCCTAACTTTTTTTATTTATTTTTCTACCCGTGGAATTATTATTCTTTGCGGCTGTACACGTCATTGTTATTTCCTTATTTTCCCATTGCTTTTCTTATGATATTTCTATTTTCCTTTTGATTAATTACAATTTATAATAAATATAAAGAAGGTTGGGAAATTATTTAATGCATAAAATATTTCATAAAATTAAATGAATTTGCAATAGCTAAGAATATTTAACTTGTTTTTGAATTTAAAGTAATTTTATTCATTCAAAAATGAATTAAAATGCATTTAAAAGAATGGACCACTTTATTGTCATTTTAATGCTCAACAATCTAATTATATCAAAAAAAGACATTACAATATGGTATATTTGATAGCATTTTAATTGAACTGTGCATAACATGATGTTTACCTAATTGTAATCAAGTATAACTTGAAAATTACTGCAAATGATAAGGCTTTCTTCAACTATGTGGAGATAATGAGGAGGCTCAACTTTTTAATTTCAAATTAAATGTTACCATGGTTCGAGTTGCTTACCTATTACTTAGGTCTTGAATAAGATCTTTTAGATTTATGATCGATTTTACTCTTGATATATATTATTATAATGATATATAATTATTTTTATTTAAGTTTCATTCAAAATATAGATATATTTTAATATTAATTAATTAGTAGTTGTCAGCCGCATTTTATCATAGTTGTTGATTTTTTGAGTTTGGTGATTGAATGCTTTATGAAGGAGCTAGCAAAATGGTTAATTTAGATGTTGGAGTGATCTATTATAAAGAATAATCAGCGAGCGTCAGAGGTAAGAATTTAGAGTATGTTCTGATATTCAAATCAGCAAAGATGAAAAAAAGGAAAATTAGAAAGATGGAAGAGAACAAGGTAATGAAGTATTTAGACATAAGTAAATAAAATGAGAGTAAAAGATTTACATTTGAGATATATATGACTCAATTTTATTTTGTATACACATTTTGTGTTAATGTGATCAATTAATTTATATGATATTGATTAAATAGTGAACTTACTAAAGTAATCGCTAATATAACAAATACAAGAATATTGATTAGGCAATTAGGATACAATAATAATCACTTAAGAAATTCCAAGACAAATCTGGTGATAAGATGAATGAGAGCCATGGAGTGATTGTCGTATTCCCTTTTGGAAAATAGTAGTATTTAAGAAAAACAAAAATAAAAACAAGAGAAAAAACAAAGGCAGCCAAGCCTAATTATTTTGGTCACACACCGAAAGCACTTTGTCAAAGCCAACTTTAGGTATTTCGGATCAATGATTCATTTCCTACTCAGAAGATTCTCAACTTTTCAGCAAAATAACAATGAAAGACACGTAGCGCCATGTGGAAAGGTCGGTTTGACAAAGTCAATATCGAACAAAACCAAAGTAATTCAAATTGTTTGGGGCATGCAAAGACGTGTTACCCACACTGTTGTTATGGTTAAGTTTTTAGAATATTTGATTTGATTGTTATACCAATTTTAATTCCATTCTCGTGGAAAGATTTAGTTGGATTTAGGTTCAACTTCTCAACTCCCAAAAACCAATTACAAATTGTATGATTAATTTTATCATACTTCAGTTGTTAGGCTACAATACCCAAATTAATACTTCGATTGTTATTATAAAAAAAAAAAAAATCGTTGCAGAAGGTTAAACAATCTTGTAATTTGATGATATAATCTGGTGTTATAATATTAAATTATTAATTTTAATTATTATATTAAATCATTAATAATATCAAATATCTTATAAAGAATTCAAATTTACAACGAAATCCTTTATTATTTAGTAAACGATTTTCATTTGATGTTTAAAACAGTAATAGTAATGATTTAAAAATGGAATGGTAGGCGTTTTTAACATTATTATTAACATTTAAACAGCTTGGATTTAATATTTACAAAAATAACAATTAAAGCAAACCCTTTTGGTGATTTCTGTGTAGCCCCAATCTTCTGGTTCAAGGAATGAGAATCCACCATTATCGCCAAGCAATGTGTTTTTTAATATTACACAATGACCCAAAGGGCCGTATTTGTTAAATATAATAGCTGCAAAATTGATTTATTAGTGGAGGAGAGAAGAGATTAGGATCTCCTCTGATTCTCAGAAAAAAAAAATGGAGAAACCCTAATTTATATTCAAATTTTTTTTCAATAAACATACAATTCATGATAGAAGTTTCACTAAGTTTTTAGTCCTTTAGGATCCCCCCACCCATATTTTTTTTTTGCAATTTTTTCAATCACAACTGGCCAATAAAATTTTCCTTTTTCCTTTTCTAATTAAGAAAGAAAACAGGATTAAAATGAGTATTTAACTTTCATAAAACAACCCTCTCGAAATTTCTAGTATATATGAATTTCTACACAAAAGGGCTCCACTTCCTTCAATTTCATTACAAAGTATTAGTAGTTGGTATAGAAATATAAAGAAAGGTTCCAGGCAGTTGTAGCACAAGTGACTTTTGCCCCCAGACCCACGAAAATTGAATGAAAGTAAGACGCGAAGGAATCAAAAAAGTGTTATGAGATTGGCCGACGCCAGCCAATGAGACCACACTACCCAATCAGCTAGCCACCTCCTTTGGACTCATTTGTTCTCAACACTTGACAAACTTTTTAATTAAAGAATTTAACATTTTTCAACATACACTAAAAGTTAAAAAATTTGAGTTTAAATTTAATTCAATTTATTTATATAATTATTTTTAAAACATAATATTCAATAAATTTGAATTTCAAATTTCAAAAAAAAAAATTTATTTCATTTTTAGATTGTAATTTTTTATAAAAAATTAAAAAAATTTGATCAACAATCTCAAACTCTCTCTCTCTTTCTCCCTCTCTTTAGTTTCCTTTCTAGTTTAATTTCCATTCCCTCTCAATTATTCTCCTCCAAATATCAGAATTTTAAACCAAACGCGTTTAGAATAATATAAATAAAATTGGAAGATTCTTATGTCATAGACTATGATTATATTAATCAATAAAATTAATTAATCAAGTTTGAAGGTACTGATTAAGATGGCTTTGATCATAACCTTTTTTTGGCACAACCTTTAATTGTTCATGTCTATAATTATTTATTTGGTTATCTTTGATTACATCATTGATTTGTTTGTTTTTTAATTTTACCAAAGCTTGTTTCCGCTATGGATTTCATCACTTAGAAAACTTAATCACATGAATGAATAATGATCATGTGATCAAGTAGGTAGACAACCAAACTCATATTCAAGATATATTCATTGTCTTTTTTCTTATTGTTTGCCACCCCTTTTGGTTTCGAATTCTTCCTCAGCCTTCCATTTTTATTATTTGATTGAACTAGAGAAAGTGGGAAAGTTCAGTTAATATCTGAATATTTTCACGACAATCTATTGTCCAATTGAGAAAGAAAAGTTTGGAAAAATTGAAGACAACAATGTAAAAAATGTTTAATATATAATAGAATTTTGAATTTAATATAATTCAATTGATTCATATAATTATTTTAAAGAAATTATGTTTAATAATTTTAAATTTTAATACAGACAATTTTTTTTTATTATTTTTGAATTACAATTTCTTTTATATTAAAAAAATAATAAAAGTTATTTTTTTCTTTAACACTTGAAATAACCTGAATGGGGGAATGGTCTGAATCCCTATAATATCAACTCCTCCATGTGCAATGACCTTTGTTTTGTTTATATATGGCAGTTAAGATAGTTGTGCTTCCACGCAAATATATGGCTCAATGGCCTCCAATTTGTTGTGTGGACTTTTCGGCTTTGAAAACTTCGTATTCAAAAACAAATTAATAAATTTGATTCACTTGTTGGTTTGTATTCTTTTTTTCACATTAAAAGCATATTACATATAATTATTATATTATAATTAATCAATTATAATTCATAAATAGATGAAATTTATAATTGTTTATTTTCATGGAATAATTATAATAAAAAATTTGCAACTGAAATGCTCCACATGGTGTGGAAGCCCACAGGTTCCGAAGCCAAGAGCCAACCGTTTTTATTGATTGATTCCCGTTCCAACCGGTCAAAAGTCAAAGCTTTGTTTGAAGCATACGATTTCTTACCAGCTGGTTGGCTTTGGAGTGGATGATAAACAATATAGCAGATAGATCATATTTTCAAAACCCATAATTTTATTTGTACCGAAGTTAAATTTGCATTACTGTATTTCACATTGTTTCAACCAATATGCACAAAATTGAAGGAAATTTATCAAGTAAAAACAATAAGTTTATTAAAAATTAAAGTTTTAAGTATTTATAGAAAAAGTTAATTTGATTCATTGAACCCTAAATTGACAGTGTAAAAAAAAAGTATTTTAATTAAATGGAATAATTTTGAAAAATATTCAAGATAAGTTGAATTTACATATCATTGTATCTTTAACTTCAAATTAAAGCTTCTAAGCCATCAAAGAAGCCAAAAAAAGAA